AATATTAGTCAATAGGGTCTTTTTAACTTTGCAACATTAAAGGTTAATCGAACTTGATTCCATACATATCCGCAATGACTCTACTCATTGAATTTTAATTTTTTAGTACCTATCTGGAGGCCACGTCGCAAGATCGATGCACCTATATTCAGCCCAGCCAACCTGAACAAGTTTGTGAAAGTATTTGCTGAACAAAGTGAGGATATGGTAAAGCAAGTGAAGTCAACCTTCGGCGACGGAGCGGAGCCTTTGTGGAATTACATGGCTACCTACACCTTTCACTCTGTTTGTGGTAGGTAGACACTGTTCTTTCATCGTTTCTATAAAACAATAATAAAATCTACATTAAGATAATTTCACAAAATTAGTTCGTATTGTCTAGTTGTTATAAATCAATAATAATAGTAAAAATAATATATCCCTTTATTATACACCAAATAACCTAGGTTAGTACAAATGGCAGCCTTATCGCTCAGAGGCCCTCTCTTACAGGCAACCGTGGTATGGAGAGAAGACATGAAGGGGAGGAGGTATTGGGTAGTGGCTGTTGTATTGGGAAATAGTAAAGAAGATAAAATCAAAGTAGTATTTAGTTATAGCAATAAAAAGTGGTGATTAGTATCTATTTGTTGGACTGTGGCATATTGCCCTAATTGATTGTTTATAATTCCATTTAATATCCGGATTTTATGTGGTAGGGATTCACATGATATAGATTAACATAGTTTGTAAGAAAATGTATTGATACCAACTAAATGAGTCAAATGTTACTCTAATAAATGATTATTATTATATCTATCTGTAGTATTCACGGGCCAAAACAACGCAGGACACCAGCACTGCAAAAAGAAGGAAAACTTGAAACCCTATACCAACCCGTCTGGCCAGCGTGGTATAGTAGGCCAAACCTCCTTTCTAAGGAGAGGCCTATGTCCAGCAGTGGACTATTAAAGGCTGTTGATGTGATGATATGATGTGATTCACGGATAGTGATGACGCACGGAATTCGGTCAATATAAAATAAATTGTATTATAGTTATTAGCTTCCTTTGATTAGCCTACAAGTTTCTATAACCACACTAGGTTCCTCTGTTAAAGAAACAACCTTTTAATGTCAAGGGGTGAAGGGTGGGCCCTGGAGCTGCATCAGGGAGGCGCTCGTGTATCACGAAGTGCCTCTCTACCTCCGCCGCATAGTCGGGGCATATTTGTCGGAGAGAGCCATCGTCTACCCCAGTAGGACCCGTCTCGGTAGGCGTGAAATGTCGTGCGGTGTTCCGCAGGGGTCGGTGTTAGGGCCACTCTTGTGGAACATCGGCTACGACTGAGTGCTTCGTGGTGCCTTCTTGGATGGTGTCGCCGTCGTGTGCTACGCGGACGACACACTCGTGACGGCGCGCGGCAAGACGCACCACGAGGCCACCCTGAGGGCCACGGCCGGGGTTGCCCAAGTCGTTGAGCGTATCCGGCGGCTGGGTCTCGAGGTGGCTCTGCACAAGTCCGAGGCCCTGTTCTTCCACGGGCTTCGGAGGAAGCCGCCTGAGGGATCTAGCCTCACGGTAGGAGGCACTCGCATCGGCATCGAGCCATCGATCAGGTATCTGGGGCTCGTACTCGATGGCCGATGGTACTTCGGATATAATTTCCGAGGTCTGGTCCCCAAGTTGGTTGGGGCAGCGCGTGCGTTGGCGCGGCTGCTGCCCAACATGAAGGGACCCGATGACTCCTGCAGGAGACTCTACTCGGGGGTTGTGCGGTCCATAGCCCTTTACGGGTGCCCAGTATGGGCGGGGGCCCTGAATTCCAGCAACGTCGCGATACTGCGACGACCGCAGCGAGTGCTGGCCATCAGGATCATAAGGGGGTTCCGCACGATCTCCTTTGAGGCGGCGAGTCTCCTGGCCGGAACTCCGCCGTGGGACCTGGAGGCGAGAGCCCTTGCGGCTCTGTATAAGTGGCGCAAGGAGGCGCGGGAGTTGGGTCGGTGTCCCGAGACTCGAGAAATCGATGACCGGAAATCCCAACTCCGCCAGGTCATCATAGGGGAGTAGAATGAACGACTCGGGCAACCGAGCGCCGGGCACGCCGTCATCGCGGCGTTAAGACCCGTTATGGAGGATTGGCTCGAGAGGCGTCACGGGACCCTCTCATACCGACTGACGCAGGTGATCACTGGGAAAGGATGTTTTGGGGATCACCTGTGTCTGATCCGCAAGGAGCCAACGCCTGAGTGCCACCACTGCGATGGCCAGACCGTGGAAACGGTTCTCCACACGCTGGCAGAGTGCCCGGCGTGGGTTGCCTTTATAATTCTGTTTGAATCACAAGTTTAAAATATATGGTTGGAATTTAGGTATAACAATTGACGAGTGCGAGACCGACTAGTTGAGTGTACAATTGTAATATGACAATTATTCTGCAGTATCATAATCTAACATTCATTGTGTTTCTAATGAATTATTCGATTTCAATTTATGAGTGAGTGAATTAAACCTGAGAGTTTCATTTTAAAATGTGAAGTGGACACGTAAAATGCGAACTGTATTAAAATTATATGATGAACAGGGCTTTTGAAATGTTAATGTTTTCTCTTAATTTTACCATCCGGTATTCGAATCATTATTGGGCCTCTGATAACTTCACTCGGTGCAAAAACAAAAGACTTGCCACTTGACTTGCCTTGCTTGAAAAGTGCGGCAACATGGCTCTTCCAAAGAATATCGTGTATTTCTAGGTTTACAAAAAAAACACCTTTTGCTTTGAACGAAACACATCCTTTCCATTTTTACATTTTTACACACTATAAAAAATCTATAGTTGAAGCTAGTGTAAATCACACTGATTTGAAATTTATATAATTTATAATTTAATATTGTTCAAACAAATTTAGAAATATGAATAATTACCAAAATTAAAATTAGTTTTACAAACGAACTAACATTAGCGGTATAGAACATTAAAAAACTGGCCAAGTGCGAGTCGGACTCGCTCACGAAGGGTTCGTACTCGTACCATTATGTATAAAAACGCCAATCACGTTTGTTGTAATGGAGTAAATATTTATTTTATTTTAAGTATTTGTTGTTGTAGCAGCAACAGAAATACATAATCTGTGAAAATTTCAACTGCCTTACTATCACGGTTCATGAGATACAGCCTGGTGACAGACGGACAGACAGACGGACGGACAGACGGACGGACAGCGGAATCTTGAACAAAGCTCCTGGAGATTATGGAATAACAAACAAAATCCTAAAAGGCTGCTTAGACTACATAATAACAGCTATTACAGCTTTATACTACGATATTCTAACTAAAGAACTAATACCACAACAATGGACATCGTCAACCATCATATTGCTACATAAAAAAGGTGACAGAACAGATATAAATAACTACAGGCCGATCAGCTGGATCTCCAATCTATATAAAATATTCTCGAAGATAATATTAAACAGAATTAGCTCAGTATTGGACGAAAACCAGTCGAGAGAACAAGCTGGTTTCTGACGTGACTTTTCAACAATGGTTCACATTCATGTTGTAAAACAAGTCATACAAAAAAAGCAATGAGTACGGAAAAACATATTACCTAGCATTTGTCGACTACAGTAAAGAAAACATTCGACTCTCTGAAACACGTACACATTTGGGACGCTTTACGTTCACAAGGAGTACACCCAAAGTATATAAGGATAAAAAAATATATATACAAGGCATCTAGGAAGGGACGTCGTTTAAAATAAGAAGGGGAGTACGACGAGGAGACCCCCTCTCACTAAAACTATTCTCAGCAGTATTAGAGTATATAATTAGAAACATGGATTGGGAGGCGTTTGGAATAAATGTAAATGGTGAAAAACTTAAACACCTTCGATTCGCAGATGACCTGATTTTGTTTAACGAGAACCAAGAATATAAATAGATAATAGAGATATTAGAGAAAATAAATAATGCTAACGCAACTATATAAAGAAAGCCAAAGGGTGGGTTTAACTATGAATTTAGACAAAACAAAAATAATGACAAATCATGTTAAAACTTGACACATACCTAGGGCAAATTATCGCACCAGAACAACAGATGCAGAAGGAAATAAACAACAGAATAACTAATGCTTGGAAAAGATTCTGGTCCCTAAAAGAAGTAACGAAGAACCAGCACATCCCTCTGTAAGACAAAACTACGGTATTTAACTCGTGCATATTACCATGTTTAACCTATGGACCACAAACCAAGGCCCTTACAAATAAACAGAGTGGAGTACTAAAAGTGTGTCAAAATAATATGGAAAGAAGCATCCTAAACATCAAGCTACGCGATAAAATCAATCTTACAGACATAAGAAACAAGACAAAAGTAAAAGATGTCACATACACAGTGAAAAAACTTAAGTGGAATTGGGTTGGCCATATGATGAGAAGCAAGATGGAAAAATGGACAAAAAAAGTTACTGTATGGTACCCTCGAGATGGAAAAAGAAAAAAAGGACGTCAAAAATAAGATGGGAGGATGATAATAAAAGAATAGCTGGGATAACATGGCAAAGGAAAGCCACAAACGGGGAAATATGGAAAAACTTAGGTGAGGCCTATGCCAAAGGGCAAACTGATAGTAAGGTTACCGATTATAATTGTTATTATACTATTAATGAAATTATTATTGTATTATAAAATTATTATGTTTATTTGAATGAAAATAATTAATAATTGTCAATGAATGGTAAGGAAATGTATTTATTTATCAGTAATAAAGGCTATTTGTATTTGTATTGTCATCGGTCCTTGATAAGTGTGCAAAGTTTCAATTTAATTCGACGTTTTGACGACGTTTGGGTCAAAATCACGTTCGAAGATTCCGTTACATACACACATATGAAGCTAATAGATGCGTGTTAAAAAGACCACAAATTTATTTGTGGTATTATTTGTCTTATCTTTTTCCGGAATCTAGTGCAATCTTAATTAATTCAATCTTAAAGTTTTACTGGATCATGAAATATGTTAATTTTTCTTACAGAAACAGTACTTGGTTTAAAATTGGATGCGAATGGAATCAAGGAGAAGCAGCTAATGGAATCGTTTAACATGACTTGCAAACTGGTAACGGCACGTATTGTAGAGCCCTGGTTGCAACTTGATGCATTATACAAGCTATTGCCATATCAAAGAACTTTTGAAAAAAATAAAGAAATTTTACGTAGGTTTGTCAAAGAGGTTAGTTAAGTATATCCCACTATTTTTTGACCGCGGTTTCGCCCGTGGTCAAAAGTTGGTAAAATATGTGTGTGTAAAAAGCCCTAATCTTTCCTCAAAAATCAAACTATTGCCACACCAAATTTCATCGAAATCGGTTCAGCGGTTATTGATTTCCCACACTAACGTCCACACCTCTTTTCACCCCCTTTTAGGATGATTTCTGCGATAAAAACTATCGTATTACCTTTCCCGGGACTCGAACTCTCTCTATACCGTATTTCATCTAAATCGGTTCAGCGGTTTAAGCGTGAAGGTAACAGACAGACAGATAGACAGACATACACACTTTCGCATTTATAATATTTATATGGACATTATATTTCTGGTTCCAATGAAAATATGTATATATACCTACAGTTAACATCCAATTAAAAGATAACTACAGGTAAATTAGCTGGGAGAAATTTTTGCGTTTGTAGTAGTGTATGGTAGCGGACAGCGTAAACTGGTTTATTCTGGTTTTGTGCGTGTTTCCACTTTCCACTATCAAGTGACGATTTTTTGCTTTAGATTGAAATGTCTCGGAAACGGTGCGTCCTAGGCCAAAAATAACAAAAATTTTCATCCCCCCGTAGACACCCCGGAGTTTTAAAAACCTAGATGAAAGGAAAAACAAAAAAAAAAGAATTAAAAAGTACTACTTCTCATACAGGCTTATATATATCTACTTATTTAAAATTAAGGATCTCCTACAAAGGCTGTACACAGTTGAACTTACAGTAAATATTTCACAATAATCTTTCGGTATACTTCCTCAATTATAGGAGACCACAGCATGCAAACATTGGTAACAGGTTAAATTAAACCTATGTATTACATATTATAATAGGTCTTTACCTATGAAATTGCCGTTTTATATGCAATAAGTGAAAATACTTATTTTTTCAAACTTTTTTATTTCTGTTATTCGAAGTAATCACCCATGCAATCGAAGCATCTTTGCCAACGCATTGGCAGTTTATTGATGCCCTTCTTGTAAAAATCAGCTGGACGGGAGGCAACAAACTCTTCAACGGCATTTTGTACTGCCTCTCGGGAATTGAATTTTTTACCCATTAAAAGTTGTCTAAATTTTGGAAAGGTCAAGGTGGTCAAGGTGGTGCAAGGTCTGGTGGTCACATCTGCAATCAGCTTTGGTGAATAGGTCGTCCCCACTGCTCCTTCACGACAACGCGCGATCCCATACTGCGCAACAGACAGTCTCCAAGCTGCAAGAGCTGGGGTTGGAAGCTCTCCCTCATCCGCCATACTCACCAGACCTTGCACCTACCGACTATTACTTTTTCCAAAATTTAGACAACTTTTTAGTGGGTAAAAAATTCAATTCCCGAGAGGCAGTACAGAATGCTTTTGAAGAGTTTATTGCCTTTCGTCCAGCTGATTTTTACAAGAAGGGCATCAATAAACTGCCAATGCGTTGGCAAAGATGCGTCGATTGCATGGGTGATTACTTCGAATAACAGAAATAAAAAAGTTTGCAAAAATAAGTATTTTCACTTATTGCATACAAAACGGCAATTTCATAGGTAAAGACCTAATATACAGAATCACACATAAATACATAGAAATTATAATTACGATGTAAAAAGATTATCATGAACGATAGTTAACGCTTACAAAAATCACAAATGGAACAGGTTATTCCAGCGAATGTTATTAGCCCGCCAAAGCAAACCACATACATATTGATGTATGTGGTTTGCCTTGACGGGTTGCCTATAACAACAAAAAAGTAATTGTATTTTTTGTTGTATATATATAGGTTTTAATTGCGGGCCCGTTGGTCTAGTGGTTAGTGATCCTGACTGCTAAGCCGAAGGTCGTGGGTTCGATTGAACAACCCACCCATGACAAATATTGTGTGATGAGCATTGCGTGATTTGTTCTGTGTCTGGGTGTAATTTATCTTTAAAATGTATGTATTTAATATATATAGAAGTATGTTTATCAGCGACTGCTGATAAACATCCTTCTATATATATTAAACCATGGTAACCAGACTACGTTACCATGGCAGAGGCTCTGCCTAGTTTGGGATCAGACAGCCGTGTGTGGGATGTGTGTAATAGTTCCCATTAACATGCCGATGTCCAAACAGTTGACACTAAGTAGTTTGCTGACCTTTGCTAGAACTTGTTTGGTCTATCTACATTCATGTATACGTATTATTAGCCCAGCGCCCATTGTCCGTAGCTTTACCCAAAGGGGAAGTGGCAGCTGTATACTACCGATAGTGTTCTTTCCTTCGAGCTCGTATTCAATTATTATTATATTTTTTTAAGTCTACTAGCAATCGAAATTCCTAGTATTCCCATTAACCCCTCCCATTAAGCTAAATTGCTTGTGTTAGGAGTGGGTTCACGTGTCCTGATGTCTTAATAACAGCTGTTCCCGGATCCGTTCTATTACAGGCGCAGAGTGGCACACCGTGTGGTTTTAGTCGGTCCGAGTCCGACACACCACCCCGCCGCAAACCCCGGTGGGGTGACGGTCCGAGGGGATTTCCACACGTAAAAAAAACTAACACTAACACACTACACTAACACATCTCTCAGATATCTCATTTTATAAATGGACTATATTTTATGGATATTCCCATCTTCCTAATAAATAATGTATGTTCTTTTTATAATTTTCATTAATGAAAGAGTTTATCAAAGGCATCGAATATGGAACTTCGAGCCTTTGAAGTTCGGGTAGCAATATTTAATATTCGTAATTTAGATTCTTAAGTTTTAATGTGACTTTGTATGTGTCTTATTTTTTATTTCAGATAATCAAAGAAAAACGCAAACAAATAAAAGATAATATTAAAATAGACACCGGTAAGTTAAACATATGTCGTAAATATAAAAAAAATAAACTAGTTTTTTATTTCCTACAGACAGGCTATATTGTCATTAATTGTAAGGGATGATTAAAAAGAAAGTTATACTAATAATAACAATAAACCTGTAGTACTTAGTACTAATGATCGCAGGGAAGTATGGAAGGGCAAAGAGCTCCATGGTCGGTTTTATGGGGCCCTAAATAGGTCTTATATAGACTTAAAAGAATCTACGACTACTTGGCTACGGTATGATGATCTCTTTGGAGAAACTGAAGGCTTTGTTTGTGCGATTATGGACGAAGTTATCATGACGAATAACTATCGAAAATATATCTTGAAAGATACTATGGTTGACATCTGTCGGGCATGCCACCGTCCTGGGTAATCAATCAGGCACATTATTTCTGGTTGTTCTCGTCTCGCTAACGATGAATATTTGCACAGGCACAACCAAGTAGCCAGGATCGTACACAAACAGCTTGCCCTTAAATACCAACTTGTGAATCTAGAGGTGCCATACAACAGGTATGTGCCTGACCCAGTTCTCGAGAATAGTCGGGCCACGTTGCATTGGGATCGATCTATTATCACAGACAGGACTATTGTTGCCAATAAGCCTGATATTGTGCTGATAGATCGATTAGAGCGTCGCACAATGATTGTTGATATCGCCGTTCCTCATGACGAGAATCTCGTGAAAGTTGAAAAAGAAAAACCAATAAAATATTTGGATTGGAACTATTATCTCTCGAGATTGTCGATATGTGGAATGTGAATTCGGCGGATTAATAAACAGTTATTTCAAGGTTCTCAAACCTGTACTGTACTGTACCAATTTGAGGCTGGAAGACACATTGGGCAATAAGGGCTAGATGCAGGATACACTCTTTCTCGATACGACAACGTATAATATTCTGAACAGCCTTATCTTTGGACACCTAAAAACCTATCTAAAAATAAAAGTATTCCTTTGTTTACATTACAACTCGATACAGGTGGAACGCGAAATTTCAGTTTTTCAAATACATATTTATATACCTACTTAAAAATTAATTCATATGTTCAATTTTGTTATAAAAACAATAATCATCTATTCGAAACTGATGTGGTGTAGAAAGAACGTAGATACTTAATTATTTGTATTATCCAAACAGGTGACACCAAAAGTATAAAAAGCTTTCTGGAACTTCATATAGTATCGTCTGGCGTCGATGGTCGCTTTTCTGACGAGGAGTTACTTGAAGAATCGCTTGTCATGTTGTTAGCTACTGATAATACTACTGTCGGGTTATGTTTTACTATTTGTTTGCTGGCTCAATACCCTGATGTGCAAGAAAAAGTATTCCAGGAGTAAGTAAATTTTTGGTTTAGTTTTGTGCAATACGCCAGCTTCATTAGAACTTTTAACCTGAAAAGTGAAAACCTTTTTCCGTGCGGAAATCCCCTCGGATACCTCGAACCGACTAAAACCGCAAGCCGTCTCGGGTACTAATAGCCGGGGAACCAGGTATATCCTAGAAAGGAAGTCCCGGGGAAGTCCCTGGTGCCCTGACATACCTCGGGTCATCTACAGACGAGTAGACGACCACCCCCCCGTGTGGGAACCCCATGTTCCCTGTGCTCCCTGGATCGAGCGTGCTTCGCAACGCGCTCGCCGCCACCCCGGCCTGCTTCTGCTAGGGTGACAGACACCCAATTTTTTTTTAATGAACACCTGAGTATTTTTAATGAATTATAGTTTTAAAACTTTTAGACTAAAATAAAAGCTTTCGTCACTAGTTTTAATGTTTTAAGGAGAATAATATGCGTTTAAAAACTGTGCACACTGAATTGTCCCATTTACATACTGTTTTTGTCGTGATAAATAATTACTCTTTTTTTTCCTGTGCGGAAATCCCCCCGCACACTGTCTCGGGTACTAGTAGCCGGGGAACCAGGTGTACCCTAGAAAAGAAATCCCTGGTACCCGGCAATACAATTTACCTCGGAAAACGCTAGACAGCCATGTTGTTAATTCATCATTCAAAATATGGCCACTAACAGCGTTAATTATAACAATTCTGCCAAAATGGGTTACCATGCCTTTGATGTGTGTTGGAGGTAAAACAATCAAAACAAATCACACACTACTTAACACTAGAGTGCACGCGTGGTCTACATTTGTAGCCCACTGTCAAATCTTGTCACTTATTTTTCAAAGTTAATTGGCGCACTAAAGCGTTCAAGTCTCATGTCTTCCTCGAGAAAATATCCTCGCTGCTGCCAGTGGTGTGCCGACGCCCGCAGTTCACATTTTTATAAGTAATTCGTCGCAAAACTTTCATGAAGTTTTGAACATCAGGAGGTTATCGATCCCGAATGCTTGATATTGAATCCAACAAAATAATTTAAATTAATATGCGTATTATAAATGTGATTAACAGGTTCCTAATTAAAAATAAGTGTGGACATTGTCGTGTGGACACTCGGTTGTGTTAGACGCTTCCTTGCTCCAAGTCATAAATCGTCAGCATTTTGTTGTTTCCTTCAGCAACTAAATTAATATTTCTACTTACCTGCCTATTGAGTCCAAGTAGTGAAAAATGAAATCCTGTGGGATGTGCAGCAATCATTTTCCGACCGAAATCCAGATGTGTTTTACAGTGGCCTGTAAAACACATCTGGATTTCGGTTGTGCTGAATCTCAGAGGCTGGCTGGAGAAAACTTGGCGTGGATAGGAGGAGCCAATGGAAAATGCACATCCGCATCACCGGCAGTGCCACCGTCGGAGCAGGAGACTCTCGAAACCGTGCTGAGCGGAATACAGGGTATGAAACGCCAATTACTTGGTCTGTTAGCATTAGTGGAGGATAAACGAACTATTAAAGACGAGTTATCTGAAGTAAAAGCTACCTGCGTCTGTTTCCCTGGGAAGCTTGTTGAATTCAGTACCAGAGTTACGGAGGTTCAAACCAGACTCTTAGGACTTGACAAACTGGAACAAAAAGTAACCTGTCTTCAAAATGAACTGGCCACTACAAAACATGAGCTGTCAGCGTACGAGCAGCGATCTCGCCTAAATAATGTTGAGACCAAGGGAATACCGGTTAAAAAAGTCGAGAACCTATTCAATACTTGAAGCCATAACTGACAAAATAGACTATGCCTTACTTAAAACACAAATAAACTATATTTCACGGGTTCCTATGTACAATTCCAAGGAGAAGTTAATAATCGTGAGTTTCTTGAACAGATATATAAAGGAGGATTTTATGGCGGCTGCTCGCGCTGGCAAAGACCGGGCGATAACCGATATTGGGTTTCGGGGCTCATTGCAGAGGGTGTATATAAATAACCATTTAAGTATAGAACAGAAAAAGTTGTTAAGTAAGTTAAAACTCATTGCCAAAGATAAGAACTATCAATATGTCTGGATAAAGCACGGTAAGATTCATGTACTCAAAAACAACAGTAGCAAATTATTAATAATCAGGAAAGAACTTGATTTAAACAAGATTGTTTAAGGTGTTTTCGACAAATATGCTTGTATTCTTCCGTTTTGCTTTATTTTACTCGCTTCTTGCATATTGTTGCAAATTTTTTGGTTCAAAACGGTGCAAAATATTTATCACTGCTACGAACAGGCGATAAACCGGTTTCTCTTGTTCTTACTATTATATGGATGTATTTCTTATCGCTTGTTGCACCTAACACTTATTAATAGTTGCGTCTCGCTCTCACTCATATACAGTGTATTCGCTACGTTCTGCATCTCGCTTTGTCATAATATTGTTTACAACTTGACACCTTTTAGCATTATAATTTGCTGTTCGAGTAACTCGATAAAACCTATACATCACTAAAACCTAACATTCACTTAAATGTGTTTTTAGCTGTAAGTCTTCCAAGATCGTTAAATAAATAAATAAATAAGGCTGCACGATCTCAAGCCTAATCTAATGTTTAATATTTAGCAGGTTTCATTTTTGTTTCATATTTTAATGCCTCTCGGCATGCAATACTTAACATTTTATAAATTACATACTTTACGAATCTAGTTTAACATTGTTCATATTCAGAGATTTAATATGTCAATATATCATATATTTTTAACTATAAACTAAATGAAAAGAGGTGCATTTTATGTCAGTTGAAAATAAATTACAATAGAACGTAACAATAATTTAAGATTAAACAAACAGACGCTGATAAAACACATTATGTAGTCTTTATCATTTAAAAATTCGTCCACTGTATAGTACACCTTTTGCAACAGAAATTGCTTAACCATATTTTTAAAATTAATGAAACACGTAATTTCTATTGAGTGTTAAGGTAGATGGTTATAGACTCGTGGCGCCATGCAAAACACACTCCGATCCATCAAAGCACTTTTATGCACTTTTGTACCTATCAAACATGTTTAGGTTACCTCTGACAAATAATAGTAATTCATAGACATACAGACAGGGTACGGTTAATATTTTGAGTCTCTTGAAATACGGTTTACAGGTGTCAATTTGTTGGAGGTTGCGCATTGCCCTGACACACCTCTTCTGAGCTATGAATACTTGCTCTATTTCAATGCAGTTACCCCAAAATATGATCCCATACCTCAAGATCGAATCCACGTTTCCATGATATGCAGTCAAGACAGCGCTATGGTCCAATTTTTTTTTTCCACGTGTACTTTCCAATTCAGGTTGTTGGTTGTTGGTTTATACATATAAATTTTGTTTTTTCTACTTCGTGAAGTTTTCCGCCTTTATAAAATACGTTTATGTCCGTTACTAGGGGAATTCTATTTTTAAAGTGTTTTGTTTAGATTGATTTTTAAGTTAGTAATATACCGTGTATATTGTTTTAGATATAGAAAAACAAGACCTAAAAGTGCCCACTAGGTGGGCTACCTATGTAGCCCACCTTTACGTCTTGTTTTTACACGTGCACTCGGGGAGTGTTTTTAGGCGCGTCCGTGTATAGTGTCAAATAATTTTAAGATTACATAAATTATTTTTAAGGTTACAAGAAGTGTTTAGTGATTTGGACAGACAAGTAGTCGTCGAAGACTTGCCACGTCTCAAATATTTAGAAGCTGTGCTCCGAGAAAGTCTACGTTTGTATCCACCAGGGCCTATAATTGTAAGAGAGATCAATGAAGATATAAAACTGAGTAAGTTTATTTTTATTATAGTATTTAACGAATGAGCCATTAAGAATATATAAGGATTTTATAAATAGATTAGCTGTAACCTGCAAAATACGAAATTATTTCTAAGAAATAATTTCTAATAATCACACTTACTCTTGATCTGGCAACACTGTACCGTTGTCGTCTTTGACAATTTATGATAGCTGACAGATGAGTCAAGTGTCAGGTGACAGCTGGATGACAGATAATGATTGGATGACAGCAGTAAATAGTATAACAAGTATGTGACGTACCTCGTGCGACAATCTCCGTCTCAAATGTTGCTGTCCTACTCTCACTATACTACCGGCACGCTATGATGGCCGTTTTGACATTTGTCCACTCATGAAGTTTCGTATTAATTGGTAATTACATTTAAAGGAGCTAATTGCTGTTCTTTATTGTCTATAGTGACGTGCAGTTAGTCATAAAATTTATCGAATGTATTATTTTAGGACACAAAATTTATTTATTACATTGATTTCTAAACTATATAAATTAGGGTCCCGCGAACATTTTTTTTTATAAGATTATAATTATTGGTGTACTTATTTACCTCACAACTCGGCATTTGTTTTTCGAAATTCAAAATTTCAAAAAATTAAAATTAATACGATCGTCACATAGGATCGCTAGCCACACAACTACTACCTACGGTGAACTCGCGTCAATGCTCTATGAAAAACAAAGCAGTTTCGACTTGACGTTGCTTCGAAAAGTACAAACTGTGAGTGCACTGCGATTGTGATATAGTTTGGACCTGTCTTTTTGTTTTGGATATTGATACTGCAGTTGATCCTTGCTCGTTAATTTGGAACCTGTTTATGCCTTTTGTTGTGGATTTCGTTTATATGGCCGAACGTACGCAGAGAACTGTTTTAAGCAGTCAGACACGTGAGTTCGTTATACGCCTTCGTAACTATTTCGATCGTGAATATTATAATGGAGGACCAACGCGTAACTGATGCGCTCAATATTGGACAACGAACTGTTAGACGAATAACTAAAGAAAAATATGGCGAGACAAGCACAGAAGAAAATGAACTTCACACACCAAAAAAGAGAAAACGAGCAAAACCAGTCGTAGGCATCGATAGCTTTGATGCCTACATGCATCGAAGATTTTGAACACCGTTGGATTTCCATACAAACAATGTAACATCAAATGCAGCATCTACGTCCACAGTTCCCGTTGGAAAAGGATCGTGACTTATAATTTGTCACGCCGGAACCATCAACAGGTTTGTCGGAGGTTCTCTCATGGTTTTTGCGTCAAAAACCATTGGAGACTATCATGAAGAAATGAATAGAGAAAAGTTTACTGAATGGTTTACCTCAATGTTGTGTAGCCTCCCTGAACCATCTATTATAATTATGGACAACACCCCCTACCACTCGTTGCAAATTGACAAGCCACCTGCCGAATCCCAAAAGTAAGCTGACATCGTCGCATGGCTTCAAAAAAATGGCGTAGATGCTAACATAAATATGTTAAAAGCGGAATTAATGCGTCTTTTAAAAGAAAACAAACTAACCAAGATACGATGCGTCATTGGCGAAATAGCGTTAGAACACGGGCACAGAGTTTTACGGTTACCGCCTTACCATTGTGAATATAATGCAATTGAGTTGTTGTGGCCTCAAATTAAGGGATATGCTGCAAGACACAATACATAACCCCCATTTACCACAGCAAAAATGATAAAAATATTAGAAGAACTTGTGAACATGTGACTAAAGAAGACTGGGAAAAGGTTGTGAATAGAACTGTTAAATTAATAAAGCAAGATTATGAAAGAGATGTGAGCATAGATAATATTTTAGAAAACGAACTTGTAATTAATGTAGGTGATGATAGCAGTGATGACAGTGAAAATAGCAGTATGGACGAATCCGATTAAATATAGCCACAAAAGCACCTTTTTTTTGGTCTCTTTTTGTATTAATTTGTTTCTTGTGTGCATATAAAGTATGTATATTCATTTTCATTCCAATATTCAGATCTTTCAAATAAATTTGGTAAGCATTTATATTTTTGTTTTATTAAACCTTTTTAATCAGGTACTACTTGCAATAAAAACTTATAGATTTCATTATATTTTTTTCGATAATAAATTGACATTTCACATCACTATTGTAATATGTCAAAACGGCCATCATAGCGTGCCGCAACTATAAATACTGCGCGTCTAAGGATGTGTTATGCGCGCCTGGTATCCTATGTATTTATTTAGTAGAATATTTTATTTAAAAAATACGTTTTTTTTTTAAATAAACTGCGTAGATAGATAGATGCACACGTCTAAACACTTTCGTCATCCAGAGGAAAGGGGGAATATATGTACATAATATGTATAAAATATATCAATGATAAATTTTATACGAAATCGTTCATTCAAACAGAGCAAATTGGTGTTTAAAACAAAATATATTACAAATACTTAGAATTCAACCTTAAATGTTGGTAAATGTTTCTTAAATCTTCAAACAACAGTTTGTTTTTTGATTCGTCACTAAGTTCGACATTTATAATTCATTTATTCTTGGTGTTTTTTTTTTGTTTTTAAAGGTCTACTAGCAACCGAAATTACTAGTATTCCCATTAAACCCTCCCGCTAGCTAAATTGCTTGTGTTAAGAGTGGGTTCACGTCGGTAGTGTGCTGGTCAGGATTTGAACCCACGACCTCTTGATCGCAAGTCCAAACTTTAACCACTAGGCTACCGCCGCTTAGTGACAAATATTGAGCCAAAACTGAGAGTTTCCTCGGAGACCACATTTAAAAAGCTAACTATGTAAATGAAAACTGGAATTCGGTCTTCATTATTACTTCTTAATAGCGCAAAATTCATAACACCACTCTACCCTCTCAAAAATACTTGACATTTTACGGCTAATAGCGGATGGGAGCGAGACCGAAAAATGATTAACAAGACTTTTTCCCGACACTTCTTGCTATAGTTACAGCTGTGTATAGCAAACCTCTACCAAACAGCGAATGGACCTTTGTTCCGACCGGGGCCATATACCCCTCACGCCGTTTTTTTTCAGATATGTATGTTTTTAAAATAATCTTAAAATTAATTTATTCTCAATAAACATTCTATGTTATTATCTGAGTCTCTAAACGAATTGCCCATTATTTAAAGCTGTTATTTCTAAATTTAGCATCGGGTGTAACCTTAAAAAAAGGATGTGGATTTTTCGTAAATATCTGGGGCACCAATCGCAATCCTTTGTATTGGGGAGAAGATGCAGAGCTGTTCCGCCCTGAACGTTTTCTTGACGGACATTCGAGGCACCCAGCCGCCTTCCTAAGCTTTAGCCACGGACCCAGAAACTGTATAGGTAAGTAATTTTTTTAAATATTATTGTGGGATGGGACATCGAGAACCAAAATAGCCGGAATTCTTCTCATAGTATTTATTTTAAACGCTCACGAAAAATTGTGTCTGAAGCCAAATCCGCCATTAGGTGTAATCTGACCCCTCTCTCTCTACTTCTGTCCATCCATTTTACTCATTCATTTTATTCCGTTTCAAATAAATTACATTTAAATCACATTCTACATTATTATCTGTAAGTCTGTAACCAGATAATTTTATTCATTACAATGATCCAAAATAAGGGTTTTATGTACTTTCCCCTCTAATGAGAAGCTTTGCAAATGGAAAGCTGCTTTACACGTTTATTAATATTAAACTATATTTTTGATAATGCATTAATCTCCAGATTTAAAACGCGTTTCAAAAATTTGCATAACTGGATCAATCAGTGAACGCGGCAAAATAAGTAAGGAAATCCTAAATGTAACTTTAATTAATATAAATATTGTTAATCTTACAGGATACCAATATGCCATGTTTTCAATGAAAACAGTACTAGCAACATTTCTACGAAAATACCGCGTACTGCCCAAACATGAAAAGAGCGGAAGCAGCGAAGTGAACCATGAACCGATGAAACTTACATTTGACATTCTGATGAAGGATGTTGACGGATTCCGAGTAAGATTGGTCGAAAGAAAATATGACAAAGTATTTTAAATTGTACTTGTTTTTAATTCCTCAACAATTAAAAGGTTTCCTTGGGTCTTCTTTTCTTGTCTACATATTTGTCAGATTCTTTTGGTCTCTGTGTATAATTATATCATCCTTTCGGTAAAATATATTGTATATAAAACAGGTTTCATCTACTAGAGTAAGGCGGATAGGGTCTATATTCATGCCCGTATCCCATTACTTTTAGGCGGATCTTGAACTTTTTGCAAATTTTGTTATATTTATGGAAAAGTAAGATTCATACTATAATAATATAATAATAATAATCATTTTATTGGAGTAACCATGACTCATTGCTTGTTAGTAATACATAAAACTTATCCTATGTTAGTAGTGACAATTTACAGTATTAATATTTTTATTTATGCACTCCATGAGAGACGGCGCTGCAGTGACCAATGTACCTGCAATCTAACCTCTCTGTGATCATGGCTTGTATGCTGTTAGAGCTAGCCCGCACCCTGCGCACCAAAGATGCACACCGTTTTCGCATAATAGTGTGAAAGCAGTCCACTCGCGCCTCTGCGAACATCCCGGACGCACTACAGAAGCGGGGTAGCCCCAACAGCACCCTAAACGCTTTGTTGTATTGGATACGGAGGGAGTTGTATGCTTTTCGAGTATATGTAGCCCACAGGCTGCACGTATAGAAAGATACATGCAGTAAGCTCTGAAGAGTGTGATCTTAACATTATTCGAACAATGTGTAAACCTGCGGCTCAACATGTTCGCTCTCACCGACAACGCCCTCCGTTCCCTTTCCAGTTCCTCATCGTCTTTGAGGCTAGGAGTTAAAATATGCCCTAGATATCGAAACTTAAATAACCTTTTCAATGGATGCCCATTTAAAAGTATCTGTGGCACATCCTTAGGGCCTCCACCCTTAGCCTCAAAAAGCGCGGTTAAGAAAAGCGAGGTCATGGACCTCGCTTTTCTTAACATTGTACACCAGGCCATGTCTTTCGGCGTACTTCTCACATATGTGAACACTCACTTAGCAGCGCCATGTCGTCTGCGTAGCTGACATTGTTTATACAAATGTCATCAATATGACATCCGACTTTTGCACTACTAAGTTCACCGACCAGCTCGTTAACGTACAGGTTGAAAAGCGTTGGTGAGGTCAAGCCCCCTTGTCTCACCCCGCATTCCAACCCATACGGATGCGATAAAGTACCTGCCCAGCGGACATTATTAATTGTATTACCATACCAGTATTTAATTGTGTTTATCATTGGAGTCGGTAATTCACATTTTTCGAACTTCTTCCATAAAATATCGTACGAAACCAAGTCAAATGCCTTAGACAGGTCGAGAAAACAGCAATACACTGAAGTGTTCCGCTTTGCATAGTAGTTCACAGTATGCTTAAGACACAGTATAGCACTTTCCGTTGATAAGCCTGGACGAAAACCGAATTGATTATCGTGGAGATGATTTATTCAACTGCATATTAAGCATACCGTCAAACACCTTAGAAATAACCGTGGCTAAGGATATGGGCCTATAGTTCGAAACATCGGCAAGATCGCCAGTTTTATTTTTGACTATAGGCACCACCACAGTGCGCAGCATATCCCCAGGCATATAGCTGTGCGTCATACATAACGAATACAGCAGTGCCAACACTCTTGGCAGATGGAGTCCCCCATACCGGAGATGCTCTATACTGAAACCGTCATGGCCGGGAGATTTGCCCTTAGTCATAGAATTGATAAATTTGGTAATTTCTTGGGCTTCAAAATGAATCCCCGGATCCATGTCGGCCTCTCTACTGATCGTCATCCGAGAAGGTCCCAATGGTGATTTTACGTAGAAATGATCCCTAAAGAGATCAGCAATATCTTTAGGATCTGTCACCCCACTGACGCTCACAGGCAGCCCCGACTTGTAACTCAGTCTGTTAGTATTTTTCCAGAAAGCGCGGAAATCATTGTTTGAATGATTTGCTGCCAGCATATCTAATTTCATTTGTCGCTCGTGATCCTGACACCATTTTAGACGAGATTTAAATATTTTTCTGGTCTCACACATATCTATATAAATTTTACCACTGGTAGGTTTACCATGCCAGTTCCAAATCAAAAATGATTGTTTAGCCTGTCTGTGAGCCTCAGCGACATGTTTGTTCTATCCTGTAATATACTTCCTTCGTATACGCTTGCTGCTTCCTCGACCCACCCTGGCCGCCTCGGTTAGCGCAGTTACAACGTCAACGTAAAGCTTATCAATTGAAGTCTATGAGTAATATCATTACAAGTTTTATCACAACAGTTAGTCAATACTTGTGGGCAAGCTATATGTCTCAGTCTATAATTACATTCATTTTGATACCTTTCTATTTCCTGTACACTTCTTTCACCCCATACGGATGTATTTTGAGAAAACCTAACATTATAAATTTTTGGTGGTAACATATTTAAATTACATTCTATGACAAGTGGAAAGTGGTCGGACCATAGAACATCGTACAGTACCGACACATTCTTAACTGTTTTTACAGCAGCCTGAGTTACGAGACAATGGTCGAGTCGTTTAGAACCGTGTGACTCACATAAAAATGTGTATGTTTCCGATAACGAACCCAACATATCAATATCTATGCAAGACCATGTCCGATCCGCACAAAAGTTTATAAGTTCATTATAAAAAAGTTCGGTGGGATGTGCATTATAATCTCCCAACATATAAACACAATCGACGCTACAGTTATCTATGATAGCACTTACCGAACTAAGTATGTCCGTGAAATCCGCTAGATTCACAATCACATCGACAGGCATGTAAACACTCATCACTAGAAAAGCTTTATCTTTCGACGTTATTTTCACAGCACAGATACGCGGGTTACTACACTGAACAACGGTTACCTCCTGAAAAACTTTCCGTCTCCATAACAACGCAACACCTCCATATGGACGACCGTGTAAGATGCCGTTGGATAGGTCCACTGCTGATACCCCTGTCGCGCTGAAGTCTTCGCTAATGGTATCCAGGAAAGAAATTTCGTTCGGCAAAAACCAGGTTTCCTGTAGCGCTATCAAATCGCAGCTTTTACACAAATCCCGTATGTTTTGCAAAGAACGTTTTACATTTTTACAATTAAATGTAATAAACTTGTGGGTCTGCTCGTCCATTAATTGTCATTCTTATGTCCGACAGTCTCCACTTCATGTTTCGGCCTAAAATTCACAAATCTTCGAAAGACAATGCCGTGTGGCCATAGTTTCTCGTCTAAGTATAATGGCAACTTATTTAAATTTACGAAAAACTTATAGGCGTTATAGTCACGTTGTTGTTTAATAGATATTTTCTCTAGTACTACTTTTTCTTGAGTTTTCTTTTCTATATATTCAATAATATCTACTTCGGTAGTACTTTTACTAACATTTGTGATGAACATCGGCACTTTCCTTTCCGCCGCTTTGAATTTATCTTCAAACTCAACCGAAGCCAAACCCTTTTTGCCTAGTAAGCGGTAATTGGGAATTTTTCTGCGTCGCACTTCCGTCCATCCATTGTTTGCCACCTTTTTTCGTTGCGCGATACTCGCATAAGAGCCTGTTTCATTGTTATTTAACAGCAGTGCCCCGAGCACGAAAAAATGTCGAATGCGTATCGTAAACGTATCGAGTCTTCGATACGTTTACGGAGTTTTACGATAGGCGGTAGCACGAAGCACTAACGTTAAGGTATCGAGAGCTCGATACGATTACGTTAGTGACGTCATCCTAACGTAAATAAGGATGTGCACTTAAGAACGAATTCAACATCTTATTGAATGAACTATGCGTTCGAAAACATAATAAAATAGTGATTTTTTAATACTTTCGGTTAAACTACCTATTTATTGACAATTAAAAAAAAATTTACTTATATAAACACATAATAAATCTTAAATTAGGTATGGGAGATTTTAAAATGTAGTATATTTTGTAGAATTAAAATAATTATTATGACATTTTTTTCGGTTTCTGAATAACACGTCTCCACTTGACAATTTATTGACATAGATACGACGCTATGTCTGTAAATTGTTTATTATTTTTATTGTAAATTCATCTCCAAGTTTAAGATTATTTGTAAACCTTGAAACTTTAAGAAGCATTTTATAGAAAATATTATTTGTATTATTACGTCGTGTTGGCTGTCGATTGTGACAAAAATCTAAGCTTCCAATAATAGCTAAGTCGTATACCACTAGACCGTTGTCTTATGTGAAAAGAAACTGATAAAGATTTCTTTAAAATAAACTACAGTAAGTCGTGCCACAATAAATCGAACTGTGGAACAGCACAGACGAAGACGTGTTTCATCATCATCTGCGCCAAAAATCCCAACATCAAAAAAGTCAGTGCCTACAAGCCATTTACAATACGTGGCTATGGTGTAACTTCTTGAAAGGTGAGTTTATTTAATTTACTATTTGCAATACTCAATGTACTATAATGTAAAATAACGATGTGATGTTTGAGAATATGATAAATTTCATATTTATAATTCAATTTCTCGTTGTTATGAGACTTACACTGCTACTTGACATTAAAATAAAGTTTCAATTGTAAATATAGATAAAATCTGTCACTTTATAAATGAAAAAATGAAATGAAAAGAAATTAAAAACACCACCATAGCAATCCTACAGATAAACATACCAGGGACAACTAATGTCTCATATCAGTCAATCTAGGTTTCATAGTACAAGTTCTACTTAGTTTGAAACTATGTATATGGTGTTGTGTGTCAGATGTCTGAAAATATTATATTCGTTATTATATAAGTAATAAATGTTGTAATATTTTGTTGTAGATTGGAATACTGGGGGCTCAAGCAGCCAACCAACTGTGGCTCCTCCTTTACCAGCATCTGAGGTTCATTCTCAGTCTTCTCCAGTCACCGCAGTGGCGAGGAGTGGAAGTCTCCTGAACAAAAATAAACTCAAAACAAGCAATGATATTTTAACCGTTAATAGAATCGTAATTGTG